GGGGGCATTAAACTGGAGGAGCTGAGAATTTAGTTTAGCTTACATGGCCTGGATACTCTCCGAATGCAATGCTTTAGGCAGCTGTCTCAAATTTCCTTCAGCTTTGTTACCTTCTTCTTTTACTAGTACACAAGTACTTGCACAAAAACGTCAAACTTTATCAGCTGCGATTAGCACTAAAAGTAGCAGATTGAAGCTCCAGAGTGGCATCTCATGGGTTAAAGACAGCTGCCAACATCTGTAGCTGTGGTTAGCTTTTAATTGTGAGGCCCAGCAAGTGAGCGAGCAGCATGGTGGAGAGGGGGCTGGCAGGACCGCATTTTTCAGTCGAGTGTTCACAGAGCAGCTTTCCGGCCAGCCATGTGGACTCAATGATGGCGTCCAGGGGTGCGCTGTACTCCTATGAAATATTAAATCTGCTCAGCCCCCAAGTGTGGACAGACCACCTGCAAGCAAGCGTGGCGTGCGGCGAGCCCCGAGATCAAATGTCCCCCAGCAACACGCACATGCACAAACATACACATGTATGCATGGGGGGAAAATACACCAATGTCCCCACACAGGATAAACCTGCAGGCCTGCACATGCTTACACTAATGGACATAAACACATACAACAAAAAAACCCTGAGAACATGGGAACACTCAAACAAATGTGGGAGGAGAGATCCGTACAATAACACATTTCCTGCCAGTGATAAAGAGAATACTTTTTATTGGAATTTTCCAAGCAGTATCCTTTTCTCATGGAAAGGTCAATTTCACATACTCAGCTCCAATGAATACTTCTTACTCTCTCTCTTGAAACAATTAGCATATGCAGTGAACAGTGATGAAGAACAAGAACAAGAAAACATCTATGAAAGAAACTAAGGACTTGGCACTTTCAGAGACCAAAATGTAACTTAAGCCTACTTCGAAAAGCAGCCAAGAGGACAACGGGTGCTTGTCGACTGCCGTCCCCTTCAGGGCCTCGTTCATTTACACGTCGTGCAGTCGGTCCTCAGCCTCCCCTCTGCTCCCCTGCGGCATCTCTGCCTGCCCAGATGTGCAGCTGTTTATTTGGAGCAGCGATAAAAGCAGCTGGCCTGTCCTCCACATCCTTCAAATGAACAGAGGGGGTCGCCATTCTGCAGACAGACAGCTCTAGAGGAGCAACTGGCCGGCTCAGGTAATCCGATTTCACTCACTCAACACCAGGTGAAGAGTTTATTTTCTTAAACCTTCACTGCTCAACCATTGAAAGCATCCAGGGAAGAATAACACTGCTTAAATTAATATATAGTGTGACTATAGTGGTGTTTTTCAGGGACTTGTTTTGTCTTTTTCTTTTGTTTTTCACCTCAGGTTTATAAAATGTCCTTATTAGTTAAACATAATATATTTGTGAACTTAGATGAGCATCAGGACTAAAAGAGAATATTTACAGACCAAGCAAATATGTATACATATGCAGTGGCGTTTTTATATGTACAAAAGTGGTGGGGCACAAAAAACTTAGATGTCTATATATAAGCTTCTGCAGTGACGTGCAGTGAGGTTCATGGCTGGTGAGGCACTGGCACTGACTCTTCAGGTTTACAAATATTATATTTTGACCTAAACCAAAATATAATATTATTTTCAAAAGCTTTTTTTGTCTGATGCTTCGATTAATTTTAAACAGACAGTTCAACAAAAGGATACCCAAAAAATGTCATTTTATCATTTAAATATTGAATTGTTCTCTCTTAGTAAGATCCCCTTTTCAATAAAATGGCGGTCTTACCTTGACTTGAAGATGAAGTCCATTTTCCTATCCTTCTGGACAAACATTTCTATTACTTTTTTGTAAAAGTCCTCCTTATGTTCTTGTAGTTTCAAAAGTCTATCATAAATCTAATCCATAGATTTATGATAAAAAAATTATATAAGTAGGGTAGACATGTGGATGTTATCCGGCTAATCAAAACGTGCATTTATCTAACAGGTACGTTTCCCACAGATCTTATTTCGAGCTATTTTCTAAAATCCTCTGGAGAAATCTCATTGCTTTTTTGTGCTTACTTCCTGGTTTTAGGACGCGCCACTGCAGCTCTCTCGTCTCCTCTTCACACAGCACACTTTTCGCGGCACACGTACTTACAGCCAATCAGCTCTGAATGATTTGAGATGACGTATGGTGGGGATGGTAGCTCCATGCCCCTCTGGTCATTATTTTTTTGCCACACACATTTCATTACAAAATACTCTGAGCATGCGCAGTGAAGTTTTTACAGTCACCGTTGACTTCACAGCGAGAGGAAGGGGCATGATCAGGTTTTGTCCCACATGGCTCTAAACAGCTCAATAGGCACACACTGTGACTGTAGACACACTAATTAGAAGAACACAGACTAAAACAGCAATGTACAGACGAATCAGATGATTAAACATGATCTTAAAATATATTTTATATATTTTTTTATTTATTTTTTTGCATTTTTGTAATCATTATTTGTAATACTTTCTGCTGACACTAGGTGGGGCTGTGCCCCACCTGCCCCTAATGACCAGTCGCCACTGTACATATTACACACTCGCACACTTTTTTTTTGTTGGCAGTATCACAGAAAGAAGAAATGTAAAAACTGTAATTACTTAATAAAACAGATTTCTTGATTTTTTTTCAAATTATACTAAAAGATACACATACTATAACTAAATTAACTAAACATAAGAATTCTATAATAAGTCATCAATAAGAATTGTCTTTTACATTTTTCTTCAATGCAACACAAATCTTTAAACTATTTGTAATTAAGACTTCATCCTAAAATGTATTAGATCATATTTTTAAAACTCAATTCTAGTTTGTTTGCCAATTCATGCATCACAATTATTAATGATATTAAGAATACTGAAAGATTTAAGGTTGAATAAATCACTGCCATGCACAATAATTGATCAATAAATATCAACCCCTTCATAACAGCAGCTCATGCAGTAACCCCTAACCATTCCATGGACACTAGTGACATCCAGTGGTCATGTTGTGTGAATAACATTTCAAAATACATGTCTTTTGTTATTCAATTTCTTGTTAGGGGGTGCTAAACTCTGACACAGCTGCAGACAAGAGATCTATATAAGACATTGCAAAATTGTAAAAAAAAAAAAAGATGTGTAAAAATTAATAGGTTTATAAATATCTTAGGTTGTTTATGACTCTCCATATCGTATGTTACAGCAGAAGTTCACGCTGAGTGGACAGATTTGACCAAAACAGCAGATGCTCATCAGAAAGTGATGATGTCAGTGAATGAGTCACATCCATAAATAACATCAGCACTCCAACTGAATATCACCAGGCCTATGCATGATATACTGCATTTACATCATTACCAAACACTGTTCATTTTAGCCAAAGTGTATCCATAATACTGACTTCTGAACACTATGGAGTTATACAAATCAACTGACTTTGTTACATCAAACCATATTTCAGATATGCCACCAGGCAACCTCTTCTTGGCCTCTTGTATCTAAACCCCACATGTGTTTCTCCCCAGGAGGGATACTTGAATAGAAGAGAGCCATGTTAAGAGTGTAATGTGTGTCTTCTGTGGAAAATAAAGCTTGTTATTTATGCTTTTGTGAATACATCCAAACTTGTTCTCACTGTATGTTTGTTATATTCCAACCTCTTTAGTTTACCTTTTGCTCAGGGTTGCTTTTTCTTGAGTCAAATGCTGATGGGAAATAGTTTAAGTTTCATTATTGCTATTAGTAAAGACTTCCTTTATTGGAAGTGAGCTCAAATGATTTACAGGAATTAGCTGAGTAGAGGGGAAGCCTTGAGTATGGAAACTGGGCATAATTGTAAAACCAACATTTTGCTAAAGAGAAGTCAATGTTAAATGATGTTGGTTTAAACATTATTTTAACATTAACACATTTTTAAATGACTTGTAAATAGTTGGAGTTTGTATAAGATTTAAAATAGACTCTGCGCTCAGCTTTTTGGAAAATGAGATTCAAGAATTGTTTGTTTCCACACTGTTTACTTCCCTGCCGGGCATGTGTGCCATCTGCCGTCACCCAGGAGACTTTAATAAAGGGCATTTGAAAAGTGCCAGATTTGCTGAAGCTGTGAGCTGAATTATGATGTTGTGTTTATGTCACCAAAAGGATAATGGATCCAATGAAAGATTTAGAATAGTATAGTGCAGTATAGTATTAATAACATACTGTGCACTGCATTTCCTAATGACTTAACCACTGTTTGTTTATTTATAGAAATAAGAAATCAAACACTTACCATTGGGTGGTCACAAGGTGGCGGTAGAGGCCCACTTGCATTTTACTCTGTATCCCTAAAACTGCAGAACCTCATGTGCACCTGCCTTCTTCGAGCCAAATGTACATACAGTACAATGCGTGCAGGGTAAACAACAACTGGGCTTTTTATAAGGTGTGAATTTCAACGTTGTGCTAAAGGTCCTGGCCATAGTGTAAACAAGATGAGGTGTTGGAAAATCAGGCTTATTATACTTTAAGGACATCATTTTTAATAAATTCACGAAACAGCCTGCGTGTGTAGACTACTCTGCATGCTTTGTTTATAATGTAAATTAAAAGGCAAAACTCTGCAGAAAGAGAACCATCCATTGCTGCTGCAGACATTGACTTGCCCTTGGAATATATTTGTGAATGAACCCAGGCAGTGGAGCTCTATCCCTCCTCATTTGGATAAATGTCACGCGTTACCTAACAAGCGAATCAGTGTGTTTTTTTGTCATTCAAGAGAGGGTTAGACTTTCATTTTGTTGCCGTGGAGACTACAAATCAATAGCATCATGCAGTATCTTCTTGCCCATTCCCAATGAGAAGGTTCAGTCGCTGCTGCCGTCATCAGGGCTCGAGGGGCGGAGGGGTTCGAGTCACCTGTGCTCTGATTGGCTCCTGCTGGTTATGCGCTGCCATTGAGGTTTTTTGGCCCGTGCAGAGAGGAGGTGTGTCTCCGGCTGAACAAGCAGACGCCTCTCGCATAAATACTCAACACAGCTGAGGTGATGATCAGACGCACCAAATTATAGAGCTGTGTTTTGTTCTCAGACTTTTTTCCCGCAGAGTTACTTTCGGTTTACGTGAACGTGCTGTGCTGTGCTGCCGTGGAGAGAGGAAAGAAAGAGAAAAAGTAGTCCCCGGCTGTCATTAGATAGATTCCCCAATCAGCAGAATTGGCAGCAGGTGTGAATTCATGTCTGTTTTTTCCCCGCATATATATTGGTGAGTACTCGCATCTTTTCCAGTTTCACCTGTCCACATGTTAGCAGCTGAGGTGTGCTTGCCTTGTGCCTGAGAGACATTACTAAATCATGTATCAAACACTGCTTTTGTTGGCTTTGCTCCTGACTGTTAAGAACAATGAAGTATTGTGGTTTGTTTTGCTTGGTGATTTCCCTCAGAATAAGACACCTTTGTTACACCCACTCTTGTTTCCTTTTAAGATTTTCTGTCGGGTGTTGTCCCTGGAGTTGGAAATGTCATGTCACACGGCTTGGATATTTAAACGTTATTCTAGGTCTCAATTTATTTTAAGGAAATGATTGCCAGATTCCAGCTTCATAAGTTGCCTGCATTTGATATGACCATACTCAAAGGTCACAGTGGTCACACAGTGTTTTCTGTCAGCAATTGTTAGGGATAAAATGCACTTAAATAGGCCTACTTGTATTCCTTTTTATTTTTCAATGTTGAAAGTTGAAACACATAGGCTTACTTTGCTGTATCCTCAGATAAAGTAAGACCCTGCATTCATTCTTTGGTCTTTAATACTGCAGGTGCAATTTAAGAACATTTCCTTGTGCCATTCAGCACTCTCACTTGTTGATGTACTTCTTGAAACAGAGAGTGGATTATAAGCCTTTCTGTTATCATACTGCCGATTGTTTTCCTGTCTGTAGAGAGGATATGCAAGATGCTTTGAAACATTGTTTTCGAGCACTGTTCAAACCTCAGCAGGCTTCTGGCTGTCTCTACCAGGAAGTTCAGGCTCGACCTCTTTACTGTAACCACACTTTGCTCTCTTGTGTGTGCCTACTAACACTAGATCAATGTTCTCTTGTCTGTGATGTTACTTTTATGAAAAACATTTTATAAAAAAAGGCTTTTACTTTTATTTTTCAGAGGTATATCTAAAAATCTTTGCGCGTTATTAGATTTGGATGCTGCGAGTTAACCTACGCTGTGGTTTTCCATTTGTCTGAACAGGAAGACATTTTTCTCACAACAATAGCTGGAGCTCATCTCACTTGTATGCATGGCATCATATGAAAACTAAGTGCAAGCTGCTAGACATATAAGGTCAATAAGATGTTCATTCTCACACCCATCACTTAGATTACCACAAGGCACTGGAGCAGTAGCTGATCCATGATTTAATTTCAGCGGTAGACTCAACCCATAGGTATCTGGATACAACCCATTCATTCCATCACACTCCTGGGGGTCTTACTGCGTCCCCGCACCACCCACATACCTGCGCAGCTGTGTGACTCCGGCATGGCACGTCAGCAACTTTGCCCTGTCTCCACACAGGCTGAGATTTATGATAGCTGTAGTAGGAACTGTGGGGTGGCAGAGGGGAAACAATGTTGATAACGCATCATGCATATTCTCCCTCTTGTGGAGTGAGATTGTTGCGGAGATCACTTGGCTCTTGTCATCGCCACTACTTTCCAGACCGGAGCAAGCATGGCCTTGGGCTTTTTATAGCCTTGAGACGGGTGGATGAACCCGGGGCCATGCTTAGGTAATGACTGAGTCTTTGAGCATCTTACAGAATGGTTTTTTTTTTTTAGCGGTCCTAGATAAAGGTGTAAAGCCAGTATGGCAGTACTGACTTTAACAACTAGCTCTGTTAAAATGTGACTGCTAGTGTATGAATGGCTGTAACATGAAGCGAGTGCTACTGTTCACTATATAATGAGGTGAGGTAGTTGTTTTAAAAGTAGAAATGGAAATGGCTGCTTAACACTGGGTCAGCGCTTTTGTCTGCCAAGGGTTGTGATCCACAAAAATATCAGATCATCACTTTTATTAGGCATTTAGTGTATTCTGTGGCAGTAGGCAGTGATACTTAAGAAAACACTGTAAAGGATATCACTGGTCATCTTTCATGGAAATGTAACTTTGAGATATTGCACGAGAAAACTCTAGAACCATTATATGCAATGTTTTGTTCGATCAATTCGATATTACATTTATTTATTGGGAAGACTGAGAAAATAGCAAAATATTTACATTTGGCATTTAAAATTAAATGTTAAACTTGCCTGATAAATAAACCGAAAAAAATTGCTGATGTATTTATAATTGACAAACAGTTTTAGCTTTGAACTTCAGTAATCCTTCCGATACGGGCCTTGGAGACTCAGTCTGTACATGACTAAACTTCTTACATGCTGTCTATCTGTGCCGTGGCATTAGGATGAGCGTTATTGTATGTGGGTCAGGAGTTACAGAGGGTTACTGTCGTCATCATCAGCCACTGTCGTCATCATTGATCAATAAAGGCCATTAGAAACATGCTAGTGCTGATGTATTCTATTGAGCTTACTTTTAACTAGCTGTGGTCCATGCTGATCTTACATCAAACATATACAGGTTACTTTTAAAACACTTAACGTCTCCTTAAGGAATCAAGTATTCATCTCTGTGTGAGGGACGCACTCATCAGCCCTGCGTGACACACAGCAGTAATAGATGTGACTGTGGTCCATGTATGTTTGTTTCCTCCTAGGTTAACTTGTTACTTGTGCACCCCCACTTCCTCCTCATTGTGCCCCTTTATGTTTTATTAGGCCGATGTTCTGTTATTCTTAGCCGAGCAGGATGTTTATACGATCCCCGAACAGAAATATGACTGGCAAGGCCTGAGTGTTTATCTTTCTTTCCCTTCCCTCCCGCTCCTCTTCTCCTCAGGTCTTCACTGTCACTGTTCCTCCCTCCGTCCCCACCTCCGCTGCTTCTTGCGTGCCTGCCTCACCCTCTCTGCATCCCACTCAAAGATGAAATAAGTTTAAGAGCAGCCCCAGCTGACATTATTATTTCCATGTTTAACCTTGCGTTCCTTCAAGCCCCCTCCTTTTTTATTTTTGGACATCCGTCTATTCTTTTGGTCAAGTAAGCCATGTCCTCTAACTGGTGCAGTAAAGGTTACTTTACGTAGATTCAACCAGAAGCCTTTAAATGTTGTGTCAGTTTCCTCATGAGGGAGGTGAGGGGTGTGTAAATGTAGGGATGGAAAAACTGATTGATAGATGCCATTGCTTTAGGGGTTAATGATCTCTGGCAGTGAGTGACTCATGTTACATGACACTCTGCTCCTCAGGATGAATGTGTGTTAAATGTTCTTCGGTATTGACTTCTCTTTGATGACTGCAGGTTTTCCACAACATCGTCAATGTGATTGACAGTGCTTCAAGAAGTTGTAGATGCACAATCTAAAATCCTAAACTCTATAGGCTATATCAGAAAGCCATGAATGGAGCCCTAACTTTTACTAAATTACACTTGTAGCTTCCAAGAGTTTGATGCAAAATGCAAAAAGGGAGAAGATTTGGTCAGCAAACTGTTGAATCCAAAACAAGATCTATTATTATTAAATAATGTGCCTCCATAAACTTTGTCATAAGAGGATTATCGAATTTCCTCAGTTACCTTAGTCTTACTTTTCAATCAAATGAAACCCTAATTCATAAAGATATTATTTGTCCACCACAGTTCTGTGTGACAGTTTGTGTACGGTAAACCTCTTTTAAATTTAAGATAATAAACATGGATATTTTTAGATTTCTGCAAGAAGATTATTCTGAGCGTGAGTTTTGTATGAGTCATACGCTGTTTTGATATGAATAAAACCGGTGAATGGTACAATACATTTCTCTGAACACATGTTAACATAAGTGGTCCTTGTTTTAAAACCATATTTTTAATCATCACTACAGTATAATTTTCACCATGCTGTGGTCCAAAAATAAACATTTATATTTATGATTCAAACTAGGTCAAACAAAGCCCACACAACTCTTCCCTAAAAAAAACCCAATTCCATTAAACCAGATAATGTTAGTCTTTTGTCGTGTTCTGTTTGTCTTGTTCCATATAGCCAGTGACCACACACACCACAGGCCTGTGGCCACTGACCACAAGGCAGCGGGTTTTAAATAGAGAGCGTGAGAAGGCCGCTCAGCATCTTGTCTCAAGACGCATCTGTCAGTCCAGGCCCTGCTTCAAGACATTATTTTGTTGAATATTTTTTCTACAACAACACTGGATAATGAATGCACTGAACATGAATAAACAACCCTTTTGTGATTCTATTCCAAAATGGAAAGTTTGGCCACGCTTTGATGGAATTGAGTGCATCAAGTTCCACCCCAACCAAATACCACAACACGCCCCCAGCACACTCTCACAATGACTGTTTTCTGGTTGCCACTGCAAGAGCACATCAGCCTGCATTTGGAAACGGACACCTTATGCAAGCCATATTGTGTTCTGTGCGGCTTTGCAGTACACATCACAGCACAAACTAGATGTTTGGTTTGATGTGGTCAACATGTGCAGAGGAACAAAACCATGACTTGGGTGTATGCAACATTTGATGGGTTATTGGTTATCTTTAATCTTTGTTCCATTAAATTATAGATTTTTAAGGACTTTTAGTAATTCTTCTTCTTCAGTGTAACCTGTCCCTCTTTAGTATGACTCGAAAGAGGGAGAAAATCTATAAGGGAAATTATTAAAAATCACAATAAATGTTTTAGTGTTAAAAGGTTGCGCGTACATGCCCTCTTGGGATGGCATGCTTTCTCTTTTCATTTGGACCTTGAGGCCTATTGGACAGCATCTAATCAAACTTATTTTTTCTTTTTACCCCGCAGCCCAGTGTTTGTTCCCGGCCGAGATATGACTGAGGTGATGATCAACAGCACCCCCATGGAGGACATGAGGCTCAGCCCCAGCAAGGACAGACTCTCCTTTCAGGTAGGACATGTGCACACTGAAATGCCACTTGCATGATCCCATACCCAGAAAAACTAAATAATGAATAGAAGGCTAAGGAAACATTTCAATAAACCCTTATTTTTCATCATCTATTACGTTGGAGACATTGGAGGTTTGTCCCAACATTAACATACGAGAAGTGTGAGCAATAGTGTGATTTACTGCAGCCTGTAACAGGAATGAACCCTGCAGATTGAGAGAGATGAGAGAAAGCGGCCATCAGGTGGTCTTGACAAGGTGTCGCCAGCGGCTTTGTTTTACTGTCAGCTCAACAGGGCCATCTTGGAAACTAAACTACTTAAACACACAGCTGCTTGCTTATTTGTGTGTCTTAGTTGTCCCCAGTGTTTAGTAGGATTTTAAAGAGACCTATTTTGTATCAGCATCTTTTAAAAATAATGGTTTGATAATTAAAGACCACTTATTTTTCTTGAAAGGAAGGTTAATGAAGCATCGTGGCTGTGGGTTCAGAGGTGCCAATGGTGTTTTAACTGCATGGGTTACAAAATATTCTTCAAAAAAGCTGAGGCTTCTCATTTAACAGGCCTGAAAGGTAATTGTCTATTTTTAAGATAAATAATCTCATAGAAATTGATGTCAATTATTTATCTGAAAGGTTTGCATTCATAAACCTAATACAGTGGCCTTGTAATGCCCTTCAGTACTGTATGTAGATGTCGACTTTGAAAGGAAATAGACTGACCCGGAGGAAGAGCCTGGCTTCCTCTCCAGTTCACACCCCAGCTGTGAGTCTGTCTGAGAGGATGAGGAGCGGATGAGGGGGAGAAATGAGAGGAGGCTGCTGCTTCTTCACTCTTTCCATCCCTATTTTGTATTTACTCACCTCGGCCATTTGCCCAAGGTCCCAGTCACTCCTTAGAGAAGCAGTGATGTTGCCTCCAGTCACTTCCTCAATAACGGGTCCCGGGGGCTTTGACACCATTTGTGTGACAACTAAATATCAGCTGCATCTAGAAAAAGGTTTTGAAATGAATGTGATCTACTAGTGAAGAAGGATGAGGAAATGGTTACTGATTTACTGAATTATCATCTCAAAAGGCAATGTCAGGATTCAGATATAAGGTTGACCCCAACCTTACTCCCACAGAAGATCCTGAAATAGCCTGTATTGTGCCTTGCCGATGATGTGTCGCTGCTTCCTGCCACTAGAAGTGAAACAAGTTATGACATGTTAGCTATGAGTCCAAAGGCAAGGTCATTCTACTGATTCCCCTTGGTGCTGACGCACAGTGAGGATTGGTGATGCAGGTGAGAATATGGAGATACACACAGGCATTAGACTTAAACAGACATGCACACACACGCTTATAATCACACCTCTTAGCGTGGTTCTACTGTATAAGCAGCTGCTTTTGGAAAATGTAAAAGCTGCTGAAAAACATATACATGCTTCTATAACCTAACACACTCTAACATTCATAAGGGATATTTATAGCATTTTGTCTTTTTCCTCTACTCATCCATCTCCTATGGAATTCATGAAGACTTGGACACAGCTGGATCCCCTCTATCTCTTCCCCTCTCGTCACAGCCTCTCTCCTGCCTCTTCTAATGCTTTCTTTCCACTCGGCTCTCTGCCCAGACAGCGACATTGCTGAACCCCCCCCCCCCCCTTCCCTCCAATGTCTTAGAGTGAAATATGCAGGTCTAAAAATATTCATCCACTTTATCCAAACAACAGCAAAAAATGCTGTTCTTGGACCAGGAGTGGCAAGCCTTTTCCCCTGGGCCAGCTCTCCGGTTCCTGAGAACAGAAAGTCTGAGTTTGATATCCAATCTAGCCAGTACAGGGAATGTATGTAATCTCTCTTGTCCAAATGTCTCTCATGCCCTTCAGTTTGGATCCAAACATTTGAGAGAGATGTTTATAAGCAGACGTATCATACTGTTTTTGCAGAGAACGCGGCCGATTTTGATGTTCTTTCCTAAACGTTTTTTCCATCTCTACATTAATATTAAATATTCAGCGCTTACGGCTGACTTTTATTTGAGTTATACACAAATCCCGTCCCAGTAAACCTTCAACCTTTTTCGTGTTTTTACTGTTGATTTGAAATGACCTGGTTTTGTTCTTGTAATCTTCTGAGCATTTGGTGATGTGGTACTGGATTTGAAGTTGGTAAGCAGCTACGAGCTGCTTGGCACAGTGCCTTTCAAAGAATTTAGATGTAACATGATGCAGCATTTCCTGTAAGTCTTACTAGACATGCCTCATTTACCTGTACACAGTCACCAGTGTAACAAGTTCTTTTGCAATTTGTTATTGGGTGAGCACCGGAAAGCTAGCTTGGCTTTTAGAAGAATGTGGGCTGGGCAAGAGCAGGTATGCCACTGGGATCTTAAGCAACCACTTCCCTTCACAGATGTTTAGTCTTCACATCACTTCCTTCACAGTTGTTTAGCCTCGTAGTGGTGCCTGCAACACTTCTACAAGGTTCAAGACTAAGTTCTGGTATACTTAGCACTGATCAGAAATATGCTCACAAATAATTTCTTGCCTTACAAAAGGGGACAGCGTACTCTCCTGGCTTGAAACGACATCCTCTGCCATTCAGAATACAGACTGCATTAACGCCTGAGGTTATTGAAAGATTAATAATTAGTATTTTCCCTCTTTTCTTTGCTCTCCAGATCTTCCCGGACCCCTCAGACTTTGAGCGCTGCTGTAAACTCAAAGATCGTCTGCCATCCATCGTGGTTGAGCCGACAGAGGGAGAAGTCGAGAGTGGGGAGCTTCGCTGGCCTCCAGAGGAGTTTCTGGTCAGTGAAGAAGAGGGGGAGGAGGAAGAGGAAGAAGAAGAGGAGCAGCAGAATAATGGCAACATCCAAAACGGACAGCCAACACAGAATTCTCAGCAGTAGAGGCTGTGTTGCAGCACCCATACTGCCCCGTTTCCTCTTTCTTTCTGATAGACTGTCTTTTCCTGGTTACACTGCACCTCAGCACTCCCAACAAGCTGGCAGACACGGATTCAGTGTTGCGATGCCATCTCGTTGCCCTTGACACCAAAGCCATCAATCCCAAAAGAGAAGCAATACACCCAGGTGACACTCTCACACAATAACGTATCCTCCTGGACTTCAAACCCGCAAAACCAGACTTGAAAAGGACTGACATGCACAACCAAACCATGCCCACCACCATGTGTGTCTCAGCCCAGAACAGATGTCCTGTTGGACAGCGGCAGCTCGGTGCTCCATGGACAGCTCTTACACTGCAGGGGGCTGCAACTGCTCTGTACTTTACTCCGAAATGGCTGGCGTCCTGACCCCAGAGATTTCATACTGGCATACAGATTTATTGTGGTTCCCGTGGAGATTATCGTCTACAGTAACAATGTCCATACCTGTGTTTTCAGTTTCTGGATGGATGTTAGTTATTGTGATTGCCACTGCTGTCCATAGATTTGTTTCTGAGAAGTGTATGTTTTGTGATTTGTCTGTTTTTTGAGAAGTGGGCGTTTTGTGTAAAATGTTACCGGAATCCAACCCCCCCCCCCCCCCCCCCCCCCCCCCCGCAAAAGAAAAAGTCAGGCATTAACAGTAAAAAGCCAACATGAAATCATTTTTAGAGAAGTGGGCAGAAAGTGGAAGAAAATAAAACCAGCATGACCTGCTATGCTTATGCGACGCATTCATTGTACAAAAGCTTGTTGTGCAGTAAGGGCACAGTCACGCAATGATGCTCTCGTCATCACATTGGCCCCTTTGAGCCGTATGACAAAGCAAAATATTACATTAAGAACAAAATCTGAGGCTAGCAGGTGTACTGTTCAAAAGGGTAAAGCTGTGTCAGGAGAGCGCATTATATTTGAGAAAACAATTGATGAAGCAATGTACAGACCAGATGAAGGATGTGTAAATACTTGTACTAAGCCCAACCTGAGGCCTTGCAGTGCGCTGATCTTGTTTTTACTATGGGTTTGGCTTACCTTTTTAAGGAAGGCACAGACTGAGAATCACTTTGAGCTGTACACACCTGAACGGAAAGTCTCTGCTAGTCTTCCTTTTCCTTTTTGACATCATGAAGTTCAGGTCATGGAGACTTCACAATGTAGGACATAGTTCACAAATAAGTAAGGTTATAGCTGACAGTATTAAACTCATTAGTTCACAATAATTAATCCTGATGTTTGCCATAAGCTGTTGATGGGAAATTGTATATGTTCTCTGGTAGTAATGTGTTTTTTCTTTGTCAATTTCAGAAGTTGGTGTTCTTTTGTTCACTCTTTAAATCACCACTCATTGTTTGTCAAAGAAGTCTTGTAAGTTGTAGAAAATGTCACTTGTGTACACAATATGAAATGCTGTTGTAGAAGCATGATTGAGATAAGTCTGTTTTGTAAATTCTCATTGAGTGGCATTAGGGCTGTGTACAGAACATCTCTTTCTCCTGTCACCTACAGTTCCCACATTGTTTTTGTAAAGCTCAGGGAGATTAGCCGCCATCTTTCTCTTGTTTTTTTGTATTTAGACCACTTTTCTCTGTGATGATTACAGAGGCTGTAAATAAACATTTGAATTTGCTATCCAACTGTGTGACTGTTGTGAAAATAATTGACTGAAGAGTAACTGCGTCTTTTATGGTACAAGACGTGGTAAATAAGTAGTTTACATGGGTAATCCTTTAGCGATTTATAGTGTTGTTTCCAAGACTACTTTTATTTTCCTTTGTGAAACCCCCTTCTATTTTCCCCACTCATTTCACCTGCAGTGGTTACAGAAGAGCAGTGTTACTTCCTGCTCGGCATCTTTCGCATGCATAATCTCTCTTTCTCTCAACTAGCACAGATACATGTATCAAATGCCTATATGTAGAAGCGAGAACAGGAAATAGCATGGTTCCTGTCTTCAACTTGTTCACACGCAATCTGACTCCTAGTTAAAACAAAAGCTAATTCCTGAGCACTAAACAGCTTTAATTTCGAAGTTCTTGAAATGTCACTTTTGTAAAAATGATTTTTTTAAATGTGATGCATTATGGAAAACTTTAGTTTGACCTACACATGTTTAGGGGCTTTTTTTTTTACCATTGAAGGAATATCCAGGATAGTACAGCCTATTAAAGTCTGGAAGAAACTCCTCACGCTCGACCCATAAACTCGCCACAATGATACAAGACTAATAAAATGTGGTTCAGTAGAAAAGCTCTAATGGGGAACTGGGACATTTACAAGAATAAACTACTTTTTGATCACTGACACAATGGGAACTTCTCAGGTGATTTGCTATGCACGGTATTATCATTGAGCCAATAGGTCGAGTTTGATTACCTTGTACCGGGAATAGTCCATCAGAGTTTCTGCGCTAGGCCAAAAGCCTGACAGATTGTGCTACGGTGGTACTCTTCCTGGAAGGGGAACAATGAACTGACATTTTATCCTGCTTCCGTCTTCCTGGAAAAATTGAGCATAAAGAGTTATTAATACCCCTACCCAGCTGATAGTGGTGGTCAGCAGCAGAGTGTGTGTGTGTTTGGCCCAAGGGGCTGATGGGAGCCTTCTGAATAGGTCAGAACAGGAATGTCCTTTGTCCCTTTAAAAAAACTGCTCCTTGATCTCCCTGGAAAATGTAATGAGATCATGGAAAGAAGAAATAAAAAGTAAGACAACCGCAGTGTTTGGAGGGACCGCATGAACTTGGATCCAGCTACGCAGTTGTGTGACGTCAGCAAGACACCTCTGAACTTTGTGTCATCTTTCAAATAACACTGGAAGGAATAATGAGAAAGCAATATACTTCAGTTTTAATAAAAAATGGTTATGTATTACTAAGGCCTAAGGGCGTATGAAAGGATGCCCTGAAGCATCTTTCTGCAGGATTTTGATATAATGAGCAGCTCTTCTCCTTCAGCCACTTGTCAGGTGTTTACACAATAAGGAACCTTTGCAATTAAAGACTGTTTAAAAGCAACCGGTAATTGAAATTAGCTTTGCATCTCCAAACCTGATTAAAGCACTAAAGCATATGTAACATCATCAGTTACAATTCCCACAAATATCTCACTTTAAACGCCCTTAAAAACACATTTTCAATCTATCAACACAACATGTTTTGCCAAAATTAGAAAGGTTGAGTTATTTCGCTAACTTTCATTTTGTTCTGTGCTTTTCTCATCAGTTTGAAGTGAGCAAGACTAATTTGGCAAAAGGTAATGTAGAATAATGTCATGTGCCAATCAGGATTTAGCAACATTTGAATCAGAATGGCAATTGTGTGAGTGTTTGCTTATGTTGCCAATGTACAAAAACTGCTAAACCAAGCTGAGCTTAGCAGCTACTGGCTTCAGTGTCATATTTACTCTACCAGCATGAGAGTGGAATCTATCTTCTTATCTGACTCTCAACAATAAAGCCAATGAGAATGTTTCTCAAAATGCTCGTCCATTTATTTATTTAATGTTTATTTGAATAGGGACAGATGTAACATAAACCAATGCAACACAGCAAAACGGTTATAGCCTGAGCTTATTTGCAATGCCTCTCCTTAAATGGTCTTTAAAACACATAAAACTCAACAACAGATACACAATCGACATCTGGTTAGACTTGATTAATAACTATTAATGTTGTTGTTGTAACTTGTATTGTTGCTTATCCAGTCTATTTTATGTTTTGAAAATTGTTTGTGTTTTTATTGCAGATTTGAATCACTATTTTTTGTGTGAAATTAATTTCTTCACACTTTCCCTGTGTTTATCAACCTCTCTGTTGGTGGTCAAAGGTGACAGCACTCATTTTGTAATTGGTAAGATGAGTGAGAGTCACCGAGTATTGGGTGACATAGGGGAACGGAGTGCGTCTCACACACCATTGTTGGCGTGAGACACAGTATCTTTAAATGTGTATGTGTGAGAGCGTGTGTGCCTGGCTATGTATTAAAACTGTTGTCAGAGCCCTCTGAGTGTAGACACTGATAGCTCTTCTAGCTCATTCTTGGGATTCTTTCCAATGGAAACAATCCCATCGCTGATCCCAGTGTGTCAGCGGAGTCTGACCTGCCAACCCCTGAATTCTCCCCGACTCCCAACTATAGTCCACATTAACGCTGCTTCACTGTCTCCCCTCTACATAAACTCACACCATGTACCCATAAGCCATAACATAACCCCTTCCTCTTCAATCTGTCATGTGGAGAAAAATAATGCTTATCCTATTCACTTTTTTCCACTCCCTCTCCTCGTTTTACATCCTTTACCCTCATGTACTTGTTTTCTTGTTCATTCTATTTTTCGCCCTCCCAGACTTTCATCCCGTTCTGTTGTTTCAGCAAGTTTCCCATACTTACATGACAGTAGAAATGTACTCTGCATTCCCACAGTGCAGGTTATGTAATGTAAGTTAACATTTCATTGTAAACAGTACCCCTGCTCCTATAACCTTGCTATTTTAGTGCTGCAACCTTATTGTATAAGCCACCAAGGTTGTGTGTGCATGCATAACTGTGTCTATGAGATTGTGCAAAGCTTGCAAAGGGGCACATGTGCTCAGAGGTTTTATGTATAACCGTGTCTGTTATTATGAGTGCCATGTGCGTAAGGGAAAGATTCTTTTCCCATGGTTCCTCAAGTGTGAGAAGAAAGTAGAGCTCTCAGGACATGAAGCAAAAACTCTGCGGGTTATTTATAACCTGTCTGGAGACGGCCCACCATGCGTAGACACATATCTGGCACTGTCAACAAGGGAAGAGCTAGAATAAGATACGCTGAGAGGCATACAACAAGAAGGGGGGATTAAAAGGTGAAGGGGTCGGGAAAGGAAAACGAAGGATGATGAGGATGTGGAGCATTAAGAACACCTGCACTGAGACCACAGGTACACTTTAACCTAGTACATTCATTTACACAAATACTTTACTTCAGTACAATTTTCAGTTACTTTTACTTTACTTATTTCCACTTTGTTACCTTAGCAACTACATTTCGGGGGAAATATTGTACTATTTTAGTCCACTACATTTATTGGATAACTTTAGCTTAAGCTACCCAAAGTATATAAGTTATTAGCCACACATGTAACAACTGCAACAATAAAGTGATACACACATTAAAGCATCACTCAATACTATCTTATAATATAATAAACATTATTTTGAAATAGGATATTCTGCATAATGAGTACTTGTAATGTCTACTCTAAGTATATATCTATGCTCATACCTTTGTACTTTTACTTAAGCAGGATTTTAATTGCAGTTATTTTGCTTGTAACAGAGTATTTGCATGGAATACTTCCACCACTGACTGTGACATGGATAAATCACATGGTAGAGACTGATTGTCTCTCTTTACTGCCAACTTAGATAAGACTTGATGAGATAAGGCAGAATGCAACCATAGCACTTGGATGCTCACAATACTATAAAAAACAAATGCACAAGTTTTCTAGAAATCAGTGAGTTAACTAATTGTGTTGCATTCTGTCCTTCAACCTTTGGAAACCCCACAGCGCCATGTGATACGCCACTCGAGCACAGAGGACCACAAAGTAGGGACTGATATTCAAAACAAATCCTCCACAAAATCCAAATTAATCAGAAACAAGCATAGTCAATACTCAACAGAGCAGCCTTTGAAGAAATAATTAACTGCTTGGACGGATGACTCTTAGCACACATGGACCCATTCTCTGTTTTACAGGATGATGTAAGGTACATTTTCAACTCATCGACAATATTTTAGAGCTTTGATCAATACAAGTCTGCTGGCATCTGCTCCATACTGTACAGTAGGTCTGTGTGTTAATGTGCTAAACCACAGGCTGCTGCTCTTCCATAGGCTGTTGTTGATATAAATAGACAGCTCATGGCCCTTCCACTCTAATCCTCACTGCCTAGGGACCAGAGTGGAAAAAGGGAGGAAAGAGAGACGGGGTATAAGTTCAGGATATAGACGGAGATAAACATGCAGAAATTAGGTTGCAGAGCTTGGGTTACAGTGATGTTACAGGTGTGAGGCGGAGACATGCTGTCAATGGGAAGTGAAGTGAAAGAGAAGAAGACTTAAGTTAAATCATCCATGTCTGCTCTTTGAACTAGCACAAAAGCACAAGAGGTCATTAGAGGCAGGAATGTTTTTAAAAAAACAGTTCTTTTTTTTTCTCCAAAAAAGCCTCGTTAAAGTGCTATCAATAGAATAGAAAATAAACCAAAACACAGTGTACAATGCCCGCAAAAAGTCACTTTTTCTCTTCCACATGGATTTATGTAAGTGTAATGGCATGTCTAACATAAATTAATGTAGATGGTTTCTACGTTTATCTGTTGCATTTAACTTGGCTTACCTCCCATGTCGTTTTTATCAGCAAACAAAGCTTAAGTGTACGTGTTTTTAATGGATCAAAATGACTGTGATTCTTACCAGAGGGTTTAGATATTTGGAATTCTCAAAGGGAATATGATTAAGAGTAACTGATCAAATTGCTTTTACTAAATTATCTTGGACAACAGCCTTTAATCATGTGGACGTGCTGTTCTTTTGAAGGTGAGTTGGCACTAAACTGAAAAAAGAGCTTGTTTCAAAGCAAAGTTTTTTCCATTCCCTCTGAAGTGATGCGTTGACCCTTGAGAAGTTTATACTGAGAAAGCTATACAGTTCACTCAGTCTCTCAGATAGAGTGCATGCCATAGGGAGCAGGTCATGGAAAAGTCTTGAGTTTGACTAAGTGCACTCTCTCTTTTGCCCTGTCTGTCAGTCCGTCACCACACACACATGAGAGAACATGCATGCTCGGATACGCTCAGACACATTGACCAATCTGTGCACACACATCACTGAATGCTGAGGTAATCTGTAACAGTAGAACACCTCATAACTGTGGGTAAAAGAAACAAATGACACATGCGAGGTTTTATACTACTTTAAAAGGCTATGTTGGGAGGCTCAGTGATGAAGAACATCACCAATACAATGCTTGAGATTTAAATGAGTTCTGAAATATTATTCAAATAGGGATCTAGAACAATGCAACATGAGCCAAATCTCTTAAACGCTGAATAGAGGATTAGTTGGCACAAAAGTAGTAACAGGAATGAACTTTACAGGGGCCGATCATTTCAGTTATACATCACTTAAAGACATTAATGTCACTGCAAAGGTTAAACTTGCAAAAATGAATAAGGCTATTAAGTAGAGTCTGTTGAAACAATGTGAAGTCTATACTGGATGTTTACCTTTAAAAGTTGTAATGAAGTGTAGTGTAGCCTTGTCATGTTTATTGTTAGCCTGTATAAATGATTACAAATATAATTTGATTATTAAATTGGATAAAGGAGTTTTTATCCTCACCTGGTTGTACATGTTCATTTAAAAGTACTGCATTTTGAGACATTTGATGTTCCCAATTATTCTGCCTCTACTTCATTTAGATGGAAATATTGTATAAATGTATTTAATAGTGGGTTTTTTTGTATGTGAGGCAACATTTCAGATAACTTTATCAAACAATATTAAGAAGCTAGGCCCTCTGCTGGCCTCACCATTAAAATACTGCTCATATATTAATATCATAAGAAGCACATACGTAATAATGTGTTTTTTAATAACCCAACACATACAGGAGCCACATTGCTGCACAATGAGCAACTTTGACACTTGAAAATAGGCTACTTTAACGTTGGTTTTACATTCCTACACCTGGCACTTGCATTAGGAGTGCATGCATGGAGCCTTTTCACCCTATCTACCTCTCCCCATTTGCACCTCCTGCAAAGACTTTATTCTTGCAGGTAGTTTCCTGCTGCCTAAAATATAACATAAACGTCAACCATTGCCACTATCAACATGTGAAATCTACTTCACCTCAATGTTGTTTTTGAAGCTGTGCCTGCGGTTTACTCTCACCTCCTGGAATAATGTAGCAGGCAAAAACAGCGACCCCTGTTGATGGCTGTGCGGAGGGACAGGTGAGAGGTAACAAGTTGAGAGGTCGTGTTAGCATATTGGTAAGGCGGCTACACTTTTGCTGCAGTCATAGTAAGTAAGGCACTCAAACAAAGCAAAAATAGTCGTGGGCTAATACCTAAAAAAAAAACAATTTGCTGGGAAACGGTCCGTGGAACAGTTTTAATAACCGTTAGCTTTGAGTGGTAGCTTAGTAACGCAGTTGTTGAACAGCTTAGCTAGTGTGCTAACGTTAGCAGGCTGCTAGCTGGCTTGCCAAGTTGCTATGTCGCAACCAAGTGCTTGGACTTATCGGAGCTAACAAAACTACCTCACCTATACTGCAAAGATATTTGACTCCCGAGGAGAAACAAGAAAGGTGGGTATGTTGTCATGCGACAGTATGCAGATATGTTTAACCGTAGTTAGCCCGCCCTGTTCAAATAAGCAGGATAACGTCGGCTAATAGGCTAGCTTCTGTTTAATGTGAGATGTTGTATGATTAACTGGCATTCATGTTGTTTGTGTCAGCCTTGTTTCGAGAGGAACATAAGTCCGAAGATAACCTGCAATGACAGCAGGTAGCTTTCTCACAGTTTCCAAAGTATACGCTAACGTTTTAACCAGTGGTGGGAAAAATATTCAGATTCTTTACTTGAGTAAAAGTACTGTAAGCAGTGGATTTGACAGTATATGTTGACACCTCGGACGCTCCAACCACACTGTAAAAATAATCAATTCAAGTAAACGTATTGCATTGATAATGGCACTTAAGTAAAAGTATGTAAGTACGATTAGGAAAATATACAGTGTTAAGGATGGTGGCTTTAGTTCAAGAGGTAAATGGATGTCTAGCAACCTGAGGGTCAGTGGTTCGATTACCCAAAAAGCTCTCGCAAACTTATTTCTTGTCATACCAAAACTGCACATATGTTTATTTTATTATATTTTGACAGGTATATCCATATTTCATCTATATTCTATTTAGATATTGCTGTATTTTAATGTTATTATAGTTTCCTACTTCGCAATCAACCCGTTTCTGATTCTGATAAAAGTACACATTTCAGAGAAAAACTAAAAAGATATTTAAATATTTGAAAATATGGAGTAAAGCAAAAGCAGCCAGTCTTAACCTTTTTAAGAAGACATAATAAAATAGCATTTGCAGCATCAATCTATTGTGAAAACATCTCACCATTATTTCTTATGGTGTCTCTCTTATTTGCAAGCAAGGCTAGAGTTGAGTAATTATTTACAAAGCGAAATGCTAACGGAAGGGATGATTATTAACAGACAACATTGCAGACCATGTATAGGGTCTGTTAGTGTAACTACTTTTCCTAAATGTTAAACGTTGACCGGCCAGTGTTGTCTGTCTGGTCAAAGTCCTTGCTTTTTCTTTTATCCCAAACTGGGATTATGGAAAATGTGTGCAAATTAGAGAATTATCGCCTTGTCTGTCGTGATTTGAGTACATCGGTTCCGGGTAGACCATGTTTCTCAATGCTGGTTGATTTAGGCGCCGTTTACACGAGGAGAAAACTGCTTGTATCTGCATAGTTTCGCGTGCGTATAGCCCTATTATTTACACGAGGCCGATAGAAACTGACCCCACAAACAATAACGGGTCCCAAGGTGGATAGATTTGCAAACGAAACGCTCTGGGGGGGTCAACCGAGTCCGTGTAATCACCTCTATACGAATATTTCCTGAAAAAATAACGATAGCCCCGGCTCTCCCCACCTCTCCTGCTCACTGCTGTATCAACTATCAAAAATAGCTGTGTTAATTAAACGCACAAGGGGTTCTTGAATGAAATAATATTATAAAAGGCAAACCAGAATTGTTAACGCCCAATATACTCCTTAAACAAAATAAACAGAGTCAGATTTCATGCATTGATCCATTATATTGACAAAGGAGGATCTCACCCGGTGTTTGTAGAGAATATCTCTCTCTTTCTGAGCCGTCCTCTCCACGGAGTTGTTTTCTTTCGTGTTTCTTGGTCGGGATGCAATATCCACAGATTGGTTTCTTTCAGTTTCAGTTTCGGGGCTTAAACAGAAGGGTAGCCATGGCAACATTGCAGCGGGGCTGCTCGGTTGCTCTTCTTCGCGGCTTTTGGTGTATTTTGGCGGAAGTTACAGCGCCACTTACAGTCCCAGCATATGTACTACAGCGTTTCCAGCGGCCTCGTTTGAACAGACACGTTAAATGAAACAAATGCATGTGAACGGAAGACTTTTTTGAATACGCATACTGTGCATAAACGCAAACGGTCCCGTGTGAGCGGGGCCTTAGGCCTCCTTCACACGGGAACGTTTGCGTTTATACACAGTATGCGTATTCAAAAAAGTCTTCCGTTCACATGCATTAGTTTCATTTAACGTGTCTGTTCAAATGAGGCCGCTGGAAACGCTGTAGTACATATGCCGGGACTGTAAGTGGCGCTGTAACTTCCGCCAAAATACACCAAAAGCAGCGAAGAAGAGCAGCCCCGCAGCAATGTTGCCATGGCTACCCTTCTGTTTAAGCCCCGCGGTGTATTTAGCAACATGTAGTTCATGTAATTCTCCATGTCCACTTGTTGCTGATGGTTGTGGTAGAGGAGCTGTAGATTTTGCACTAATATCTGTAGCATGGTCAGTAGCAGTAGCTACTGACAGGAGGAAGTGTGTGTGGCGATTGCTGGTATTCAGCGGGATATAGTAATTTCCTCAGCATGTAAATATATGGATAAATGCAACGGGGAAGTTAACTGAAAGAAACCGAATCTGTGGATATTGCATCGACCGACCAAGAAGCACGTCTCCGTGGAGAGGACGCGCTCAGAAAGAGAGATATTCTCTACAAACACCGGGTGAGATCGCTCCTCTGGGACACGCCGGTCCTCGTGTTTCCTTTTTTTGTGTGGATTATAAACATTTCTCTTTTTGCCGTCGACGGGCGCAGGAGCAATGAACAATAATGGCCTGGATTAGGCAGTAAAGACAAGTTTGGTGTATCGCAGAGCGGACTGTTTAATTTTGTTTGTGTTGTTTGGCTGGATAATTGTCAATATAATGGATCAATGCATGAAATCTGACTCTGTTTATTTTGTTTAAGGAGTATATTGGGCGTTAACAATTCTGGTTTGCCTTTTTATAATATTATTTCATTCAAGAACCCCTTGTGCGTTTAATTAACACAGCTATTTTTGATAGTTGCTACAGCAGTGAGCAGGAAAGGTGGGGCTATCGTTATTTTTTCAGGAAATATTCGTATAGAGGTGATTACACGGACTCGGTTGACCCCCCAGAGTGTTTCGTTTGCAAATCTATCCACCTTGGGACCCGTTATCGTTTGTGGGGTCAGTTTCTATCGGCCTCGTGTAAATAATAGGGCTATACGCACGCAAAACTATGCAGATACAAGCAGTTTTCTCCTCGTGTAAACGGCGCCTTAATGTCAGAAAATACCCAGCGTTATTGAATACATATTTATTGGGAGAGATTGGGAAATTCACAAGGAAGCCACTGACATGCACTTTGCTCCCAAACTCATAGCTAATCCACAGGCTTTTTGTACAGCTGATAACAGACCCAACCAGTTCAGACAAATGTACTTCAAGACCATTTAATCGTGTTTCTTAATTAATCAAAATCGCAGAATCTAGATTACATTTGTTTCCCCGCCAGTTGCCTTCCTGTGGGGCTGCATTGAAGTGGTGAAATATGGGTGGGACACTTAAGGACATTAACCATGTAAACAATTAACTCATCCTGTCAAGTCCTCTATAATTGATCTATTTATCAATTACTGCTTCCCTTTTCATCGATACAATGAAAGAGTTTGGCTGCTCTTGGTAAAATTGATGGATGTAGATTGAGTGAGGTTAATAGGCCATGTTGGGTATTGATCAATTGTTTTCTTGACGCAGCTAATGTTTTTTCCCCCCCATTAAGTCTGTATGTCAAGAACATACCCAAAAGTTATGTTGGACTTTCTGATACATTTTAAGGTATTTCTAAACTGTACAAGTTTCTATGTTGAAGATTAGAAACACACACACACACACACACACACACACACACACACACACACACACACACACACACACACACACACACACACACACACACACACACACACACACACACACACACACACACACACACACACACACACACACACACACACACACACACACACACACACACACACACACACTTACTTAAGCTCATTGTTTAGCCCAGACATGCTTGACCTCTTCACTCAGCTTTTCTCTGTCGGGATGTTTGGTCCTGGCTTAAAGTAAGGAATGCAAAATGATTGCCAGAGAATTTAGACTTGGACTATGTGAAGGAATATGCTTTGCATTGCGTGTGGTGCTGTGTTTGGGGAAGTGCTTTCAGAATCACTGTTATCTTGATTTAAATACAATGTTAAACCAACCCAAATGGATGGTACTAAATCATTCCAAAAGTAGTCCTTGCTTTGTATGAAAACAAAAGTGTTTCCATGGATGCGTGATATAAATAATGAAATGTCCCAGGTGTCCACTCCCAGTAGAAGAAAAACATGTTTATTCAACACTTATATACCCATAATTCCATTCAATTCTCACATCATTTCCCAGTGTGTCATGCCTTCTACTGTGGGATCTTTTGCTTGTTCCGGTTGCCACCCAAGGGTGTTCGTGATGTGTGTGCGTTGGGACACAGCATAATTGTGCTGAGCAAGCATGTTTTCTCACCTTGTGCCTCAGATTTTCCGTTGTTAAAACAGGTAACCGTTAAACCCTTATTGCCAGCATAATGAAGGACTTGCATCTTTTAAATGCACCTTCAGCCACTTCTGTTTGAGACTTGCTGCGTCATGGTGCCGCAGAGGGTGTCAACGAGGGCGAGATGATGGGCGTGTTAGGGCAGGTAGTCTGAATAAAGGCTGTTGCAATCATAGCAGTAATTAAGCTGTTATGTGTGAACCACAGTTCAAAGCTGGATGAAATTGCTCCCTGTGGCATCAGCTAAGACTCGCTGCGTCAGCAAGGTCAGGGGCCAATCAAATCAGGACTCCCTGTATTTCCCCTTTGAACTTTTATCTCAGGGGACGTGATTATAATTGCAGTGTTCTGATGAAGATGATGTAAACCTGTTGGTTTAGGTTGTCCTATGTCCTGCTTATTTATAAAGTTACACATTCAGATAAAACATAGTGAAAAGACAGCGTTAAATCAAGTGTATCTACATAGCCTTTTATCAAAAGTATCCCAGCATGTAGCAGCACATTAAAACACTTTCTTAAGGGCTAATGGACTAGTTCTTTATCGAGAGATTGCCTATCCTTAACTTGCCTCGTATTTGACCGTTTTGGTTTGAATAAATGGAAATAAATTGGTCTGTTTGGGTTTTTTGAGTTGACTTTGCTTGGTGGTTGTTTGGATATTTTTTAAAGGCCCTGCACATCAAAATAGGTCATTTTGAATTGTCCTACTTTAATTTTGGTGGAGCCAAACTAGGAACAAAAGATAATCCACGACCTTGTTGTATAGGTGCACCAACATGAACTGGAGAGAGTGGGAGATTCAGGTCGAGCACACAGTTCGGAGAGGAGGTCTAATGAGGCTAACCAAGTGAAAACACCTGTGTGTTTCTTACGTAAGGACAATAGTGTAACGTTACCGTTGAGGCTGAAGTGGTCACCACTGATGTCATATAAATGACAGGCGATCCTCATGGCATGTCCAGATGAGCCCCTTTAAACTCATCTGATATGTCATGGACAATTGAAGGTCCTGTTACTTGGTTTTGAATTTCCGAAGGATTACGGGCTCAGTTCACTTTCCTCAGGGATCTAATGACTCTATTCCTGCCATGTTGCAGCTACCGCTCGGAACATGCTCAACCATACCTTTTCAATCTACTACTTACATGGTTTGCATTTACGTTCATCTTGAGCCTTGTTTTATGAAGTTTGTAGGCCAATGTGTTTAATGCCTTCCCATGTGTGAATGATCCTTAGTTTACAGGTTTATAATGAATCTTAATTATACTTATTAAACCAAGGATGTAATTACATTATCACATCTTTAACAAAGCAAGCTTATCAGTTCAATGTACCTTCATATTGTGTTTATAGTTTATTATGTAACTTTATCCATTAGTTCCACTCCTAATATCAGAGGCGATTGCAGTCAAAGATAGCTGTCATAGCTTCAGGTGCACTTTTTTTCACAACAGAAGTGGATTAAATTATTTGGGGAAAAGATGAAGGTGTACCAAAATCGCTTTTTTAATTTACATGACAACTAGTTAAAACGGCAAAATGTTATCTTAAATATCAGTTGGGATTGAATAATTTGGATCAAATACTCTGCCCCAGTATATTTAATTGAATATATTTGTGTATGGTTACACAAGTTATTGGCGGCTTTAACGATATTTCAACCACTGTTTATGCTCTACAGACTGTGAATAATTTTGAGGCCACAGCCACACTTGATTTAGTGACCATGCGTCCACAATGTGTTACCCACAGTCAGAAAAGGTTCCCCTATTTACATTCCACACTTGGAATGTCTGCCCTGGTTTTTCCACTGTTTGTGGGAAAATATGTCAGAAGAACAACAGAACAGCAGTCCTTGCAATTGATGCGACTCTCGATAATCCCATTTGTTTCATATTACAGTTGCTCCACCCAAGCCACTTTACATAGTGGACATCCAAGTCAGGAATACAGTATATACATTAATACAAGTCATCATCTTTTTGTTTTTTAATACATAAACAACAGCTTACGTTTTATCTGCTTTTATTTGTTTTGACTGATTAATCTTGTCTCCCTCATCTCTCCGCAGATGGCTGTGTCAGTGCGGGGCCTGTACTTTGTGATCACCCTGTTTTTGGGAAGCATCTTTGGAAGTGTCTTCATGCTGGCTCCAGTTCTGCCCCTCATGCTGCTGTCTCCTGCCTGGTACCGCTGGATCACGGATCGCCTCGTCGCTACCTGGCTGACGCTGCCTGTGGTGTGTTCACCAGCTTAGCTTCTACTTAGCATGCTAATGCTCATGCCAGATGGTCTTAAGTGACCCGTGTCTAACATGGTCTCCATCATCTACGTCATATCTGCCTTATTTATGCCTGCCTTATTTATCAGAAGTAAACTTCATGTATTTAGGTTTCCTTTTAGGACAATTAAGCAAATCTTGTTTACAGTGACCCCATGCAAAATTATTTATTCATTTTTTTCTCATACTTGTCCCTCCTAAATGTATCTTCCCATCTTTCCTCTTCCCAGTCCCTCCTCTCTCCCTTTACATATTTTTCCAATGATCATTCTTGTGATCGTCTACCTCTCTCCATGTTTCCTCCCTATCCCTTTTCATTTCTTCCCTCTTGTTCTCCCTCCTTATCCCTCCTCCATCCCGGCATCTCTCCCCTCTGTAGTCGTTGCTGGAGCTGGTGTTTGGGGTGAAGGTGGTGATTACGGGAGATGGCTTCATTCCGAGTGAGCGAAGTGTGATCATCATGAACCACCGCACCCGCCTGGACTGGATGTTCCTCTGGTGTTGTCTGCTCAGGTACAGCTACCTTCGTCTGGAGAAGATCTGCCTCAAGGCGGCCCTGAAGGCTGTGCCTGGCTTTGGTGGGTATACATTGTGTGCTTTTCTCTTTACTGAACACAGACTTAAACTCCTATTCATACCATTATATCATATATGGTTTGCAAAGCACTTCTGCATACATGTCATTACATCATTGCAAAGCAGTTTACTTTTAATAGAAAGTTAAATCTAAATCTAAATGAGGAACAATATATTGCAAATGTAGGGCAGTAGAAGGGTATGAAAAAAAGGAAATTGAATCAACACCTCTTCCATAACAGTTTCAACAAAAACAAATGTTTTATTTATGGACTGTTTTTTACTCTTATTAGTTTAAGCAAAAAGCTTATTAACGGGCGCCTGAGAATAGTTAATATAACCAAATACATTTTTTTTTTTTTCTGTGAGTAGATGCTGGTATGACAAACGTGATATCAAGAGGGAGTATGTTAGAGATCATAAGTACTCTGAAATAAAAAATGGCCCAATGTCAAACGCTTTTCCTGGGAAACATAGACTATGCCTGCTTTGAAAGTCCAGATCAGTTAAGCAATTACACCTGTAAAGACTGTTTGTATTTTCCAGGCTGGGCAATGCAGGTGGCATGCTTCGTCTTTATTCAGCGTCGGTGGGAGAATGACAAGAAGCACATGGGGAACATGCTAGACTACTTCTGTGACATCAAAGAGCCCCTGCAGCTGCTCCTGTTCCCCGAGGGCACAGACCTCACTGGTGAGAAATAAACAAGCATCACTCCATTCATTCATGGGACAATTTAGCCACATTTGCAATAGTCTTTCTCACAATATGTACCCGACAACCAGTTTACAGCTCGCAGTGTGGCCCTACACGGACACTATTATGCATTTACAATTTCCAAGTGATAAGGCACGGCAAAATCCCCGAGACACACACCCCACACAGACATTTCTGCAGGAATGCTCTGATGTTTCAATCCAAGCAACAGCGACACCAGTGACTAAAGCCCTTTCAAACCAGAACTAATCCAATCAAAGTCCCGAGTAGCTTTACTGAGGGAAGCTTAACTTCTCTCTACGCACCATGATGTCATGAGGGGTCCAATTAAGTTACATCATAATTGGCAAGAAGATTTAGAGCTTTAAATATCGTTTTGGTGTTGCATTTGCACCTTTGCATGTGAGAGTCTGCACACGCGTCTGCATCTAAGCCTCTTACACCTCGTGGTTGGGGCGGTGAATACAGCATGTTCTGACGACCAATGCAAAAGTTGTCCTGTTCTTTAGAGACCTGCACATACAGGATCCGGTCCAGAGTGCACTTAAGCCCCTCTAAATATTACCATGACCCCTTTTGAACCTTTTAAAGCTAGTGTGAATTGAGTTAAAGATTGTATAAGAATGACTAGTCCTTGGAAAACAATGGCCTCATAGAGTTCTGTCTATAGACCCTTTGTCTTACAGGAAGCAGCTACTGTACTTGTTACATCATTTGACTAATGAGTCGTGATATAGTTTACGTATTCCTGCAACAAGTTCCTGAGGAATGTTTGGTTAATAAACAATCATCTTTCCTGTGTTTATGTCCCCCTCGGTTTTTAAAAATGTGTCAGCGTTTGCCACTGGTAGGTGTATTTCATGGATTGTTTCATAGCGTAATCAACATTATGATTGTCTGACTGCCACATAATTTTAATAGCATACTGTTTTTGCTTTTGTGTCACATGTCAACAAAGTTCCATTTTTATCACAGTTTAGTGATATTTTCTTTATAAAAAATTAAAATAAAGGGAAAGTTAAAGTAAATCCAAATAGACGCATAATACTGCTGGCTTGTTAAGAGTCCATCAATTAACCTTGGATAACCTTCATTGGATGTTACTAATATGTATGCAATAATAGTACTGCTATCAGCAAATAGAATAACTTGATCGGCTTAATAAACATAAACTTTTCTTTAAGTTGTGCCTTTTGATAAGTAAACAATAATACAAAATGTCTCTCTCGTTAACTCTTATAAATAGTTACATGCTTTCCAACATAATATGGTTTTTGAAATGTCCAGAGGTCTAATGTGTATCTGTCTGTCTTGCAGAAAATACAAGAGCAAAGAGTGATGCGTTTGCTGTCCAGCACAAGCTCCCGAAATTTGAGTATGTGTTGCATCCTCGCAGCACTGGATTCACCTTCATTGTAGACAGACTACGAAAAGGTAAGATAGGATTTTTTTGTTAATCGGCGGTCAAATGGCAACATCTTCTGGTGATTGCCATAATTTAGTCAAAGTCATCATGATGGAAATACAGTATCAGCAAAACAAGGGGAAATGACATGTCATCATGATGACTGTAGTTAATCCACTGATGACATTTGTATGAGTGGGATCCTTCCTGTTATTCTACAGCGCCTCAGACTGATGCTTCATCCTACTGTCCGCCATTACAACACCCCAAAGATTCTCATGTTTCCCTATGAGCTAATTTCTGGCACTGCTCCAGGGTTTAAATACCACCTCTGGCGCTGCCGTCTCATCCCCAGCTGCCCTGGGTGCTGAGCACGGCACTAACACTAACCAAGCAGGTGTTGTGAATCAGTGTGATGTCATTAGACTTAGCTAATTCTGCTCTCCCTCTCTCTGCACCCCACACTGACATGTCTTTGTCCCAAGTCCACCGTGCCCCTCTCAGCTCTATTTTTACCTTATGAGAGATGAGCTGTACAGGAGCCGGCGCTGGCAGGTGTCATCCTGTCCGCTGAGATTTCATTCAGCTCTATATTGGCATAGTAAGGGCACTGCGGATCAATGACAGTGGTATAAAGCTCATGGTCGTTTTGAAGGCAGAGATGGGATGAAGCTCTAAGCCTCTTGATAATTAGAGCTACATGCGTAATGAAGCTCAGAGCTGGGATTTTGACAAGTGCATAAAAGGATTCCAATAACAAGTGTGGAAGTGGAAAATGGATAAGTCTCCTTGCAGTGTCACGTCATAAACTGCGTACCATACAATTAGTTTGGAGTGTTGACAATAGAGCGGTATACATAACTTTCAGTGTAGTTCAATGCCTTGTTCTCTTTGTTGTGCCCTTTGATCATTTTAAACCGTCCCTTTTCCTAGGGGGCAACCTGGATGCCGTCCATGATATTACAGTGGCGTACCCCAAGAACATCCCTCAGACAGAACGCCACCTCATCCTGGGCCTTTTCCCCCGCGAGATCCACTTCCACGTCCGCCGCTACCCAGTGGCCTCCCTGCCCACCGCCTCGTCCGACCTGGAGTCTTGGTGTCGGGATCGCTGGGCCGAGAAGGAGATCCGCCTGCGAGACTTCTACTCCGCCCAGCCCCGGGGCTTCGATAGGGAAGGCGTCGCCCGTGTCCCACCCTGTAAGTCGGAGCTGCGGGTGTCTCTGATCAAAGCCGCCTCACTGCTCTACTGGACCAGCTTCATCGCCTTCTGCTTCACTGGCCTGTGGCTCTGGGCCCCGTTCAGGCTCTACTTCCTGGTTATGGTGGGAGTATTCATGGCCCAGCAGAAGCTGATTGGCGGGGTGGAGCTGCTGGAGTTAGCCTGCCATCGATACTGGAAGTCCACGGCTGCCAAAAAGGGTGAGAAAAGTAAGGTGCTGGATGCGAAGATGCAGTGAGGATGGAAGACAGCGTTGACTGGACGATGAGATGTTTCCACCCCGCTCTGAGGGCAAGAGGATCCTTCTTTAGGGACCCAATGCTCCATGCCTTAGAAGGGAAGTCATGAGTTCAGTTCCTGCCGTTTGCATGGCTTCAGTCGAGAGAGCTTACCTTTCTGCTGTAGAAGAAAGGGGAATGTTATTTAAATGTATGTGGATTCGAGGAATTCATCACACCTATTGCACCACTTGCCCTTTCTATGTCCCTCCCTGTTATTTGGCTTGCTGTTTGTGCATTTTATCAGTTGACCTTGTTGGATGTTTATTTTAGTCGTTTGTTCAGAAACTCAGTATGGTCATGTGCCATGAAACAATGCTGTCAGTATTTGCCATACTATTGCCATGTCTTTGGAACTTGTTTTATTGTATTTTTTTGTTGCCCTTTGGTTTTATATCCGTGTCATAAATGATGGAGCGGAGCCATAGTACAGACCTCCTGTACATATGATGACTTGACTCTAACCAATATTTAAATCAGCACTGTCGGCTGGATTAGACTGATGGGACTAGTTCAATTAATTAGCTTTGATTAGACGTCTCGAACAGGGAAAGATAAGGAGTTAATTCCCAGAGAATTACTTAGGAATATACAGGTATATATGTGTACCATTGTTTACCTTTATTGGGTATAATTACCCTTTTATACAAATTGGGGAAAGAATTTCCCCAGTTAGTCCTCAGAGATGACTTGTGTGATGATGCTTATAATTACTGTCCAGGTTTTGAAACATAAACGATGTTATTCTGTGTGTTTGCTCAAGTAGCTTTTGCACATAAAAGCCAAATGTGGGAGAAGCAGATGTGATTTTTATCAAGAAACCAAACAGAAAGTCTTGTTAGGAGAGGGAAACCTCATCCACAGCTGGAAAGGTTACCCAGAGCAAACGCTGAGGTAACACTTGTGATCATCTACTCGACAAGATCAGAGATTTGAGATCTTATGTCTGTACAAGCAGATGAGCTTTGTGCCCTTTCTGGGAATGAAGGGATGCCTTTTAGAGGCAGGATGTGGGTGGGGGGGCCGGGGTGGAAGAATGTCCTGTTGGGACAACATTACCCCTCGATGTGCCGGGGTGGCATAGAGGACCAGACTTGGAGTGGAAAACTGGCCATGAACTCAACCTAATCCAAAAAAGCCCTGTAATGCCCACCTCTGCCCGTGTCCCTCTCCGGAGGACTGGCATTGATGCGCTTGCTAAACTCAATTAGCAAATGACAGCTGAGAAAGCTGCTCCGATTGTGCCAAAAAAGGACTGAAATTATAACAAGATTGAAGCTGAGCTTGAACCACACTTTTAGCCACTGACTCTCCTTGCCACTCAAAACCATTTCAATTCTATGAGTCTGGAAACTTTTGTCTTAGACTATCTAGCACTTTCTGTAACACTGTGCCGTGTGTTCTAGATGACCACTTCAACCCTGATTTTGTTTTGTTTATATAAATCTGAAGGTCCTGTAGTTTAAGTGTAAAGAGGCTGTTTCCAGTCACTGTGATCCAGCTGTGTTAACAATTTTACCATCAGCATGTAGTAGTTTACCAAACATGGTACTATATCCGTTTCCTCGGCTTTGAACCAGCCAGATTCTACATGTATAACTCTTTCACTTGTGCTGTTTTTCTGTAGCTCATTTTACAATCACTCGCTGATGCTGGACCTCTTCAGTCACTGTCCTCAGGTAAACAAGAGTCAGTCTCTTACAGGAGGAAATGTATATCTAAATAAATATACTGTATACATTCATTCACGTTTCCAGTCTTTTTCTTACACTTGTCAACGTAGAAAATGTTGATTATACTGACTTTAATACTGCTTTTACACTAATTTGATCTTTTGATTAATGCCGTAATAGCCCATCATTTGAATGACAGTAACGTCACTTTAAAAGGTTGCTGACATCATAGCTATTACATTACGTAGGAATTATGACAATGGGTTTTTCTCATTTACTCATCACTTGTCTCGTGCAGAACATCTCCATTACTTTCAGATGTGTAGCCGCTGCAGAGCATCTTGGGTATTGTCTGGGCAGTCCTTTAATCTAGAATGTACTATAACAATCACTAGACTGCAGTGAATGAGTCAACAAGACCTTGAATGCTCATGTTACACAACGCTGGGGCCACAGTCCACACACACACACACACACACACACACATTCACAGTCTGCAATAGACAACCAAAAAGGTCAGGAGCTCTGAAGGTGAAATGCAGTCGCCATAGCAACCAGTGTTGACTCCCCTGTCTCCTAGCAACGGGATGTGGAGTGATGTCAATGGAAAGCATGCTATTTTCTCCTGCTGACAGAATGATGTCACTCTTGTGTGTCTGTGAAGAGAGTGGCAGAATGATAGAAGTTTATTTCTATATTCTATATATCTGCACTCCTGGGTGGGGGGTGGGGGGGGGGGATGCTGACATGCCAGGGAATCAAAGACAAAAGTCGGGGATAAACTAAAATAGCTGTCCGAGGACCATGAATCACGGGCCAATTACGGTTGCAATTATGCTCCTGGTGCTTTTTATGGTCCCCCACCCCCCCTCTACTCCAAATCATCTTCTGCATCTGATATAACTTCAAATGTTTTGCTCTGATGGGTTTGACAGTGGGTGGAAGGACATTTGATGAGGTACCCATTATCCTGTATGTGACACAAGTGTGTGTTATTTCCTAGTCTTAAAATACAGCATCTCATTGGTACAGAGAATTAGCTTATGGTTAAAGACTTTAGTGGATCAACGCTCTGCCCAAGCACACTGAGGAAGTGTCTAAAGGGTAATGGAAAAACAGATCTCTCTGTGAACACACGTGAGGACTGTCACATCTAGATCTGTGCCACGACCATCCAATTGCATGCAGACTAATAAATAGGATCAACAAGGCGGTGTAATTATCTCAGTTGGCCCGATGGCTTTTTCAATAAAGAGAGCCGATAATCCAGAGGTTAAGCAGGGACAAAGTCAAAGACTAGTATGAATTGTAAAGCAGGACAATCGGGAGCCTCTGGTCATGTCAGGCTTTCGAAGGGCTCTAGATATGGTCATAAAAACACCAATCTTCTCTATCCACTAATGCTCCAGATACGTCAAAGAAAGAAAAAACAATTCTGCGGTGGGTGCAGAAATAGCTGTGACTAGAACACGGTGTTCAGGAACATAATTAATATGTGTCTTAGCTGCGTGCTCACTCTGAGGTGTCTCCAGGAGTGACTGCAGACCTGTTGTTGAATCCACCGCTGTGACACAGACACTCCAACAAAGAAGCCTTCCAACATGATCGCAGCTATAAATAACTCCACGGCAGCGCTGCAATATTAGTGGGTGGATTAGGAGAGAATCGTCACGGCCTATTTTTAAACCCAATGCAGTCAAATCTCTTCAACTAGGATGATTCACAGTTCTGCATAAGTAGGAAAAATGGAATTTAAAGTTTGGATGAAGTCTATTTTTGTCGCAAATGTTTGCTTTTTCGGAACAACTCATTCAATGTTTACCTGTATTTAATTTAATGTTTACACTGATTAAACTGAACATCACCCAGAATACATTTCTGCTCCATTGAGTAATTTCCCTGATATGTATTTCCAGACTGCAGTGAAGCTCTACAGACCCTGCTAACGTCAGAGCAGGCAAGGGAGTCAGCATCATGCCTCCAAGGGAAAAGCTCTTCAGAGATCAGCCTGTCTCTCAGTGTCCTGCTGCCACCTAGAGGTCTAAACATCCCTTTATGGACATGACAATATTCTAAAAGAATCAGTTGTGCTTATGTCCACATTTATCTTGGGAACCAGTTTCAAGCCACATTTTGATATCTAAAAATACAAACATCTGGAGGAAGAGGTAAAAATTAAGAGAAAGGAATACAAAATGTGTAGTACATACTCATTATAACAAGGTGTTCAAATGAGTGAGGTGTCTATTCTTTTTAATAAAAATATGTTATAAACTACAAAACAAGCAAAGACACATTTGTTTACCCAGCAAGACTAAATGTTTATTTAGAAATAACATCAAAGAAAACCCTTGCAAACGCCATACAAGAAAACCTCCAATAGAGAAAATACAGTAAGATAAATGTCAATAAAATAATAATCATAAAGCAAATAAAAAAATCACTATCAATAAAATGGTAAAAGTGAACATCAAAAAGATAATATTCTGTCACAGCCATTGACTATACACTGCATTGATTTTGCGGATAAGGATTGTGTGATGTTTTTGTAGAAATGACCACTCGCCCCGTCTTGTTCGACCTTGAAAAGGCGACAATAACAACGCGGTTGGTGAAAGCTGGAGCATTCCGGTAACACCTGCACACTGAAATGGCACAATGTCACACCGGGGCCATGATGCTGTGCTACAACCCACTCCAAAAATAACCTCAAATGTCATGGAGATAACAATTTTGTGTTTGGTTGTTTTTTACAATTTGACATTTGTATTGCAGGGAACGGACGATATAAAATGTAGGCTCTGGCATAGTCAGAGGACCAAAGCTTAACTTTGACTAAAACTCCATTAAAACTTGCCCTGTGTGTAAGAAACAAGTGACCAAATATGCCCTCAGCCTATAGGATTATAAAAAGAAGAGGGGTCACTATCCTGAAAGTAGTTCAACTCTAGGAGACAGAATTAGCGTCAACTGTGTAAATAAATGGATTAGTCAGACCCAGGCTTGATTTAACATTTTCCAGCAACATATTCACTGAGAAGAGACTGTCTGCTGTTTGTTATTTTCCAGAGGCTGTCTTTAAGTCTCACATTGTCTCCCTGCGTTGGCTACTTTCAAACGCTTGCATGACCAATCCTCTTGAAATCCTGTCCTTACTCCGGCAGGCAGCCAGAGGATGTCTCCATCATGTCTCAGACACATCCCTCCTCTGTCACACTGAAGACCCATGGCTGCAGGGTACACACTCCTCATAAGTCACCAAAGTGACATGTTGCTCGTCACACCACACAGGCAAATGGTAACAGATGGAGAATGGCAAAACTAAATCAAATTGCAGGATCAATTAAATGATTGTCTGCTATTCATGAGGTCATCTCCAGTTATGACCTGTAACCTTAAAGCCACATTGTGTAAATGTCAAGAATATCATGTCAATCAAGATTTATGCACATCATGTGAGCCAGATCTAAAAAAATAAATAAAAAAAACATCTATTATAACCACACAATGAATACCTAAAAATGACATCAGTCTGTGCGATCCTTACGGTATAATTCGAACATGAACATATAATTAAACATTAACATTTATTTAACTACTAGCTAATAAAAAGGTGACTGATGTAGAAATAACAACTATCATCACCTTAATTGCATTCAGTGCTCACCAGTGACAAATACATTGAGACAAAAGGTCACAACACAGAAGCACAAGCCCCACAGAAGCAATATGTAGAGTGACACCTCCATCGGTTCATTTAACACCGCTGAGTGGAGCGGGCTGCCCCTGTCTGGATGGTGAACATACTCAGCTCTACTGCCTCCAGAAATCCAAATAAATAAAACTAGGTGATGTTTTCTGTGTGACTGACCACGTGTGTTATCATGCATGTTTTTAACTACCATACAGTATGAAAATGTGTGGAGCATGTGAGGCGGTGATTTTCTGTGCATCAAGTGACTATATAATTGTGTGCCCAGCTGTTTTGGGGTTGGTGCCCTGTGAGACGTTATTCAGGAAGTATTTTTGGGAAAGCCTATTTAGCAGGAGAAGAGCCAGCAATCCAATCTTCGAATCAGCATAGTTCTAATGTGGAAGCCAGAGACAGGGAGGGGTTGAAGCCAAAACTTCTCCGACCATTAAGTCTGCAGGTGATGGTGCACAGCGCAGAGGCAAAGGGATTACAGGAGAGGGATAGGAGGGCATGGGAGTGAAATCCTCACACAAGGGGGCTCATGAGTTGTCTGAGGGTACGTGCTCCTCAAAGCCCTCACTCTCCCTAACCAGCGCCCTCTCCAGGATGACACGACCCTCCTTGTACCGTTGACTGTCCTCAGTAGCAAACTCATAGATCCAACCCAGCTTGCTGTTGCAGTTCTTGCAGCTGACGTCCCTCACCATGTGTCTGCCGGTTAGCATCACTCTGTCCTGCACCTCGCTATACTGGAGGTTCACCACCTGTTGAGTTAAGAAACAACCATGAATTATAGGAGGGAACTATATACTGGGTCTGCTTACGCTGTTTCATTAGCATTGGACCTTTATCAATTATGTTTCTGTACCTTGTTGAAGAGGAAAGCTCTGCCTGTGGCTCCTGTGAAGCGTGTTGAGATGAGCTCAGACCTGTTGGTCAGGATGGTGTCACAGTTGGCACAGGAGAAGAGGCGGGTGCCGCCAATGTGGTCCAGGAAGATGCGCCCCATCGTCAATTCTCTGGGAGTTACTGAAGTGAAGCTAAAATAATAGCAAGAGAAAATGTACTTTAAATAAAACACTATATAGGCAGTAACACATAATACAATACCCTAAAGCAAAAGGTGAGCTCTAAGAGGTTTGACAACACTGTTTATAATGTGGTAGCTACTCCTACAACATACAGTAGCTGGGTGTGTGTGGCAATTGTGGGCACTGATGTAAATGAATGATCAGTTAGGCTATGGGATGTAGATGTACAAAGTCTTTCTTACAACCTTGTGAGGCTTTTACTTAAGCCTTGTAAACCTACAAATCAGACTACCTTTTGTAAATTGCCACACAATGCGTTGACTGAATTTCAAGTGTGTCTGCTGGT